GTCAATATACTGGTCGTTAGACTAGTCAACAGACTGATCGTTAGACCAGTCAATAGACTGGTCGATAGACTAGCCAACAGATTGATCGATAAATTAGTCAATAGACTTGTCCATAGACTAGTCAATGGACTGATCGATAGACTAGTCAATAGATTGGTGGGTAGACTACTCAATAGACTGGTCGATAGACTAGTCAACAGACTGATCGGTAGAGTAGTCAATAGACTGGTCAATAAACTGATCGATAGATTAGTGCATAAACTGGTCGGTAGACTAGTCAACAGACTGGTCGATAGACTAATCAATGAACTGGTCGATAGACTGGTCAAGCGCCTATTCAATAGACTGGTCGATAGACTAGTGCACAGACTAATCAATGAACTGGTCAATAGACTAGTGCATATACTAGTCGATAGACTAGTGCATAGACTAGTCGATAGACTAGTACATAGACTAGTACATAGACTAGTGCGTTGACTAGTCGATAGACTAGTCAATATACTGGTCGATAGAGTAGTCAATAGAGTAGTGAATAAACTGATCGATAGACTACTCAAAAGACTTGTCGTTATTTTGATTGACTAGTCAATAGCCTAACAAAGGTACTAGTCAACAGATAGTCTACTCTATAGACTAGTCAATAGACTAGTCTATAGACTTGTATATAGACCTGTCCATAGGTTAGTCAAAAGACTAGTCCATAGACTAGTTAATAGACTAACTTATTTACTCTTAACCAGATTCATAAAAAAAACTTCAAAAATAAGTTAAGTACTTTTAATCCTAAAAAGGTACTTGTTTTTGGGAAAAATTTAGTACCATTTAAAAATTAAAATTTTCCATGCCTGTTCTGCAGTATAGAGAAACATTATTATAATTTATTTAAAATACTGCCTTTAAGACACATTAATTTTGCACTCTTTCCCCTTTCATTCCCTATAACAATTTTATTTAATTATATAATGTTTGAATATTTAACTTTGTTTGTTTAAAGGAGCCATAAAAATAAAATAAACACTTTTCAAATTTAGCTTTATTAGACTTTTTTTCTGCATTATTTTCACATCCCCAACCATGTACCCTCACGTTTTAGACGTTTTACTTAACAAACCATCCTTTGTATTTGACTTGTCATGAAGTTCGTTTATGTGTTTGTTTCAAACCCTTTTCTTTTTTTGTCATTAAACATTGATTTTGTTTCAACACGCTCTCTATGCAGAGTGTTTAAATAAAGTTTTAAACTAAATTAACTTGTTATTTATTGGTTTATTATTAGTTTTCTTTAATAGTTTGTAAGTTGTTATTTTTGTAATTTTAAGTAAAGAATTTTAAAATACAAAAGTTTGTCTTGAAAGTTATTAGAAAAACAGTTTTGACCTTCAAAAAAAAGTTTTATTTATAATGAATTGAAATTTAACGAGATTTTTTCTAGGAGGAGGGGGATTAATATGATTTAAATATATATGCCACTGCTTCTTGAAAATTTTGTAGGAATTTTAAACGTGTGTAGACTTTTTTCCAACGAATCATTAAAAGCAATTTGAGAAAATTTTCATATGAAATTCTTGAAGTGAATTTTTTACATTATTTTTATAATTTTATTTTAATGTGAGAATTTTCACAGAATTTTGTTTTGTGAATCTTATAAATAAAACAGTTGGGTTAATGAGTGACTGATTTATCATCGCTTAGCTGATACTACTTAGAATCATGAAAATTTAATACTAAGCAGGTATTTTTTAGAATTTCTAAAAACGTTTAAAACAAAGCAAATGGGTCTTTCTAAATTTTTTATATTTTTTAATTTTAACCATAACCAGATGACATCTCGAAGTAGAAGAAAGATATGTCAGATGGCATACAACATTTTTTAAATTACGTTGTCTTGGCGCTTTTATAACGTCTTAAAAGGGCCAAAAATTGCATTTTTTCGAATTTCGATATCTCGAGTTCCAGATGTGATGGAGAAATTATGGGATCAGATTCGAATCCTTTAAAGTATAACATGGTCTCAGCGTTTCGATTTTTTTCAAATTTTGTCGGCCTGTGTAATCTATACAGGGGAAATTTTGGTACTTTTCCGTCCTTCGATTGGTACTTTTTGAGTTTTCTATAAAATAGATTTTTAGTACTTTTTCGTTCTTCCATAGCTACGTTTTGAGTTTAATATTGAATCTTTAACCGTGAAACTAAACATTCAGGGTCTTGAGTAAATTAGAATCCTTATAAAGGGAATTTTTGATACTTTTTCATTCTCTAACAAGGAAGATCTAATTAAACTTCAGTTTGTTGAGTGAATAAAAATCCATGAAATGGTATTTTCTGGTACCTTTTTCGTTTCTAAATTGGTACTTTTTTAGTGTTAGATAATATTGAACTTAGTAAATGAGAATCTATCAAGAGGACCTTTTTTTACTTTTTCTTTATTCTGGTACTTTTTGAGTTTCTTTTAATATTGAACCTAGAAAAATAAAATTAAACAATCAGTGAATGGAAATCTGTACACAGAGGCAAAAGGATATATACACGCCTGGTACCAAATTGACAACAAAGAGTTTATAATTTTTCAATAACATCCGTTGTGAAAGTATATAAATATGTACGGCAACACTATATAATGTTGACAACGTTGCGTTGTCATGTTTGGATGGATAAAGTATGAAATGGAATTAATTATAAAAGCGAGCTCTTTGGTACTTTTTTGGTATTCAACTGGTACTTTTTGATTTTTTTTCAATATTGATCCTAGAAACATATAATCAGACATATGATCCTATATGTCATATATGATGGAATGAAAATCTATAAGAGGGAATTCTTTGGTACTTTGTTATACTTCAACTGGTACATTTGATTTTTTTATGAAATTTTCTGATGTTGTCTTGGATGTGTTCTTATATCTCCGTTATTTATAGATGGATTTTGCTGATTTTAAATAGGAAACTTCTCGAAAGTATATCTGACAGAATTCTTATAGATTTGGATACCGTAGATACCTGGGGTCTTCAGAAAATTGATTTCAACAGACACACAGACGGACAGACAGACACACAGACGGACAGACAGACAGACAGACAGACAGACAGACAGACAGACGGACAGACAGACGCACAACACAGAACAGACAGACATCGCTTAATCGACTCCGCTATCTATAAGGATCCAGAATATATATAAAGAATATATAAGATCGGAAAATTATATTGTGGAATGACAAACGTATATATACCCTTCTCACGAAGGTCAGAAATTATATAGCTCTACTACTTGGACATTTACTGCAAGACACAAAGGGCCATTGTTGAGTCTCACCCCATGTTTGATAAGGACTACCTGACAGGTGGTCAAATTCAAAAGAGTTTTTGATTTCATGGTGGCCTACTTTGATACCCTACAGCTCTTACTATATTTTAACAGAGAATTCAAAAGTTAAATATTTAAAAAAAACTAAGGTCTTTGGCTATAATTACTATATAGATGGTTTTGCAACCAGATCAAAACTTTAGAGTTTTGAGTAAAAATTAATTAATATTACTATTATTATTAAATGTTTAAAAACTAATTATGCAAATTCAATGTCTATTAAAGTTTAATGAATCTACATGAAACTAACAGCAACTAAATTTCTGTTAGTTTCATAATAATTTCTTGTAACTAAAGTTTAGCTTATAGTTTTCAGGGAAAATATAAAAATTAAATTTAAATATTTCTTAATATTCTAGACATTTAAGGGGTTAAGACTAGCAAACTATGTTATGTATTAATACACTCTCAAACACACACATACATATATATACACAAACACAAAAACTGAGGTCGTGCCACAAACTTTATGGACAAATTGCAATCAAAAAGTTTTGCAACACTTTCGTTTTTCATTATGTTCTTGCTGTTTGTGTAGATGTTGTTGCTGCTGTTGTTGTAGCAGTTGGGGTTTGGTTTTCATTGTAATTTTTTTTTTTATTTCATTTCAATTCTATATTTTTACAGATTTTCTGTGTTTTTAATTGCCCTCACTCAAGCACACAAACACAAAACTATTCTTACCATAGACAACATACATACATAAGTATGTATGTATGTATAGGTATTTATTGAAAGTTGTAGAAATTGAAAAATTTAACAAAAAATATATATTTAACTATTTATTTTCTTAGCTTTAAGCAAACTAAAAAACTGAACATTTTTTGAAAAGTTATGAGTCTGTGTAAGTGAAAACATTTCACTGCAATTGTAATAGAAATTCAAAATTGTTGGTTTCCTTGAATTGTTGTAACTTAGGAAGGCAACATACAGGCCGTGTATTTAAAAACACAAACAGAAAATTATCACAGGAAAAAAGTTAGTCCTTTTAGTTTTATTTTTTTAGAAGATAAAGTAAAATAGTAAATTTTCTAAAGAAAGTTTTTTTTTCAGTTTTGTTAAAAGAATTTGTTATTTGTGCAAAAAAACCTTTTAAAAAAGCAGCTATGCAAGGACTATAAAAGTTAGTATTATTGTTGTTATTACTTATACGTGTTACATTGTTGTTATTGTCAAAGCAGCACAAATCCAAAACTGCTTTGACATACAAAAAAAATTACAAATAATAGCAAACAACAGCAATAACAACACCAATAAAACTGTAAAGAAACTAAAATAGAAAAACGCCAACAACAAAATAACGCAATTTTCCATTTTAAGTCTTACATAAGAAGATATTTCTCGTTGTCGTCGTTTTTAGCATAGACAAATAATTTCTACTCCAAAACAACAAGAAACCATCTAAAAAAAAAACAACAACAAAATATAACTCTAACTCACACACAAACACTCTTACACACTCTATAGTAGAGAATTTGCAAATAGAAAAAGTAAAATTAGGTTGCTTTTAAATAGCAAAATCCAAACAAAATCACTCACACACTCATACACACTCTGTCACACAACCAAACAACGAAAAAAAAAACAAGATTTAGTTGATAATTTTCACTTTTCAAAACAGATTTTCCTTTTAATACCTCGTTTTTAAACTTGTTTTCTTTGCTTTCGTTAAAACTTTAATATTTTTTTTTTTTTTTGTTTTTCCTTGTTTTTCAAAAAACAAAATTTCACTTTTTGTTATTGTTGTTGTTATAATATTTTCTGTTAAAGGCTTTCGTAATAATATTTAACATTACACAAAATTTTCACAATTTTTGCTTTAATTCTTTCTTTTTTTGAATCTTAACTTTCACCTTTTAATTTCTTTAAATATTTTCTTATTTTTAATTTATTTTTTTTTTATTAAATCTTTTAAATTTCTTTCAAATTTAATTTTTTTTTATTTTTCTCTATAAATTTTTTTCCAACTTTCATCATAATTTCAAATTTTTTTTTCTTGCTTTCATTTTCAATTTTTTTTTCAATGTAATAGAAGAGGATGCGCACGTGTTTGTGTAGTTTAGTTAACACCTTTTCGTACCGTCTTTAAATGAGTCCTATTTCATACTAAAATCATGCAATGCAGCATCTTGTACGTTACACCAGCCACGAAACGAGCAGCAAAAAGCAATGGCAGCAGCAGCACATTAGTTTTAACACTAGCAAAAACAACAAAACACACAAAAGCAATAACAAAAACACATTCACAGCAAAGCAACGGTACAAAAAATGTATTTAAATGTTGTTTATTATTATGCTCCCACTCTTTAACAGCAAAAAGTCACTCTCTCTCTCTTTAACAAACACAATATAAAACAAAAAGCTTTCCGTTTCCTGTTAAAGTTCGTAAAATTCTTACTCTCATAATGTTATGCCCCGCATATTATGTCTTAACGTTAGTGTTTGTTCTTGTTATTTGTGTAAATTTGTTATTCGTGCATTATGCACGAATGTATTTTAAACGTACACATACTCATTTACTGCCTCCCTTTACAATCATGTGACTTTCAAGGATAAATAATCATTAGTAGAGTGAAAAGAGCTTGGAAAAAAAACCACACAAACACACTCACGCAAATTCAAATACAAATGTACTTACATAAATACATGCACAGACTTGCAGAAACGACACAGACACGCCAGCTAAACACACAAACCATATTCTGTCTAAACTATGAAACAGGGGTCTGAGAGTATGAAAGATTATTACTCAATTGTCTGTTTTTAATCTCATCTCAGATCTCGTCTACATTAGGTCAAAGTTCGTGAAAACTCCAAACAAAGCTCCAAACCTCTAATTTAAGCCCCTAATCCTTACTACAGATATTGACATTTTAATTATAGTGTTGTTTCTAGTTCTGTTCTAGTTCTGTTCTAGTTGTTCTAGTTCGTTCTAGTTCTGTTCTAGTTCTGTTCTAGTTTCTGTTCTAGTTCTGTTCTAAGTTCTGTTCTAGTTCTGTTCTAGTCTTTCTAGTTCTGTTCTAGTTCTGTTCTAGTTGTTTCTAGTTCTGTTCTAGTTATGTTCTAGTTCTGTTCTAGTTCTGTTCTAGTTCTGTTCTTCTAGTTCTGTTCTAGTTCTGTTCTAGTTCTGTTCTAGTTCTGTTCTAGTTCTGTTCTAGTTCTGTTCTAGTTCTGTTCTAGTTCTGTTCTAGTTCTGTTCTAGTCTGTTCTAGTTCTGTTTCTAGTTCTGTTCTAGTTCTGTTCTAGTTCTGTTCTAGTTCTGTTCTGTTCTGTTCTAGTTCTGTTCTAGTTCTGTTCTAGTTCTGTTCTAGTTCTGTTCTAGTTCTGTTCTAGTTCTGTTCTAGTTCTGTTCTAGTTCTGTTCTGTTCTGTTCTAGTTCTGTTCTAGTTCTGTTCTAGTTCTGTTTCTAGTTCTGTTCTAGTTCTGTTCTAGTTCTGTTCTAGTTCTGTTCTAGTTCTGTTCTAGTTCTGTTCTAGTTCTGTTCTAGTTCTGTTCTAGTTCTGTTCTAGTCTGTTCTAGTTCTGTTGTAGTTCTGTTCTAGTTCTGTTCTGTTCTAGTCTAGTTCTGTTCTAGCTATGTTCTCTTTTTGTTCCTCCATATCCACTGTATCGCTATTTGACACTATGTGTTAATATGTACATACATATGGGTGCCTTTTTTTACAATGTTTTATTATTTTTATTTTGTATGTAACGTAACGAAAGGATGCTCTGTTAAATATTTGTGTTTGTATTTGGCTAGAGAAAGAGTAGGTGTGTCTTGCAATGTTAGCCCACGCACATTAAAAACAAAAATAAAGAAATAAACATAACAACAGAAAAAACATTATAAGCTTAATACATTAATAATCACATGTTCTTAAAATTGTGTAAAAGAAATAAACACAATACAAATATAAACTGCGCATATAACAGCAATAGAGAAGACAAATGAGAGAGAGTAGGCACGAGAGAAAATAATGGTTTTTCAAAAACAATAACAGCAATAGAGTAGAGTGGTAATTTAGCATGGGTACATACAAATACTCTCATAAGAAGAGTCTTAAAATTTGATTAAAAAGCTTTGTTACTTAGATACAAAATATCCTTTTATAAAACTGTTATTTAGAATAAAAAACAGCTGTTTTCTAGCATTAAATTCTTATGTTTGTTTACAATTTTAATGTTGTTATTATTGTTTTCCTTTGATGTTATTGTTTTATTATTGTAATAGCTATTTGTATTAAACTACAATAGCCATGAAATGAATTTTTCTCCAGATTTTAAAACAAAATTTTATTTTTCTAATACGCCATTTTGTAGGAGTTACAACGATGATCGAATTGAGAATTTATGTTATGGAGTTTGTTTTTGTTTCTCTATTTAACGGTTTTGTTTGTGCAGCGGTATGTGATTAATTTTCTTCTTACTGCATTTGCAACAATAAAAAACATACAACAAACAAAAAAGGCCAACAAAACATAACAACTTAAGAGAAAGAGAGAGTCAAGTTAGTTTTGTTGTGGTTTTGTTGTTGTTGTTTTTTTTTATTTTTTATTAATTGTTACGCCCTATTGACATAGTGAACTAAATATTTATATGTTTGTTGTTAGTGTGCGTGTGTGTATTTGCATGAGTGTGTTGTTTGTGAAAGTGTGTTTTGCTGTAAGCTTCTGTATTTGTTTGTGTATGTTATAGTTTTCATGGCATTTTTTGTTGTAATTTCAAGGAATTATTTGTTTGTATTTTAAAATTCAATGTTTTTTTTTTTTCGTTTTGAAGCGTTTTTTTTTTTTTTTTTTTGTTGTTGCTTATAAATTTTCACAGTAAAACAAAGCAAGTTTGTTTTGTTTTTATTTACTAGTGTATGACCACGGGCAATTTGCAGTTGTTTTTTTCTCTCTTGTTGTTAAGTTTTCCCTTTTTGCGTTTTAGCCTAAAGGCTGCCATGTTTTTTTAATCGCTTTAAGTCATAAAACTAAAGAGAAATAATAAAACTGCAGCGATTTGTTGGGCTCTCATGAATTTAAATGAATAAATATGCTGCTTTGTACAACGACATCTAAAGGAATAAAAACATTTCATTCTTATGCCGGCTAATGAAGTAGGGGTAGGGGTTGCAACAAAACAAAAACAAAGTAAATCATATACATTTATAATGGCTTAAATTATCTACATAAAATTTGTATTTTATGTATTCAAAATTATAAGTAAAATATGTATCTTAAATTCCTCTCTTTTTATTTAACCCTCTATATACATATGTACATATCTAAATTCTAGCTTAAAACCCCAAAATCTAAAATAAATTCCACATACCAAACATAAATATTTTTACTCCTTATTGACCAACTGACAATAATTCTCTACCACCGCACAACAAAGTTATTTATACACAACAACAGCAACAATACACATAAACAATAGCCAAGAAGAAGAACAAACCAATTGCTAGAATAATAACATAACTATTTCGTAATTAACTTGTTTATCTAGAATGATTTATTATGAGCTGAACAGGGTACGGTAACGGAAATGCTATAATATGTATTAGACAAAAAGACAACGGAACCAGAAAAAAAGCAATAAAGTAATGAAAATTAATATTAATATATTATGGAAAATCTATGTTTTCCGCTAATATTGTTTCTACTCTAATCTAATACATATTTGCTTATAAACATGACGGATTCAGTCAGATGTAAGACTTAGAGATAATTAATTTAATTTACTATGAAGAAACACATTTGAATTTATAGAAAGTGATGATGAAGTTGATTCTAGTTCAGTTCTAGTTCAGTTCTAAACTTGTACAATCCACAATAGTTGTTGCCGTCGTCGCTACTCCCTTCATGATTAGTTTGTAAATTTGTTCCCTAACTTTGCCCCGGTTTACTTGTCTAAGGTCTATGTTGTATCGATTTGTTGGTTTTGTAATAGTTGTTTTATTTGTGTTGTTGTTGCTGTTGTTTAGCTGTTGGTTTTGTACCAGTGTCAAAGTGTGAGTGAATGCAACACTTTGTTTTGCATGTATGTGTGCGTGTGTTTGTTGGCTCTATGTATATTATTTTGTTGCACATTGTATGTGCATTTCGAAATCTGACCTTCTTGTGGAGCTACTTAAACATTTGGTTCAGATTACACATGCATACAGGCCAAAAACGTTTTATTGCCATGAAAATCAACTGTGTAGCAACTGGTTCTTATAACCAAAAAACCACAATAAGAACATGAGTTATACACGGAGAGTAGTCTGAAATAGATAGTAAAGAATTTTGTTACATTGAAAGCGGAACTATTAATACAAAACAAAGGGAATTAGCTGAAAATGTACTCTGAATCATATGTATGTATATTTACTTACAAATTGATTCACGCAACCTGATTTATTTATTTAATTTACTGTTCAGATACTGTGATAGACCCAAATTATCATTGATATTTTTCTTTGCGTGTATCAATTTTAATTCAACTGCTTATTTCAATATGGATGTAGTACCATTACGAATGACTCTAGTATACGAGTAATACAAACTGTAATGTAAAACTCATTTGCATTTATTTAACTTCAAAATGCATTATAATTCTGTACACATTTTATTTGATGTATGAGTGTTTTTCTGTCTCTCTTTCTATGCGTGACTGTCTGTGTGAGTTCATACCCTGCAAGTTGGGGGTGCTGTCCAGAAATTGTATTCTCCTCATAGAGGTACA